TTTTTTTTTTTTTTTTTTTTTTTATAAAGGTGATGATTACATCCTAGAAAATGTTTAACAACCAGAGAATACTCCAGCTACTCATGTGAAATAACCAAAGGATATAAAAATAAGTTCTCATAACATACTATATTTCAAAAAGGATTCAGGAGCAAAAGAAATCCTGATTTCTCAAATTCTTCCTTTTATAAAAACCTATTTGCCTTCATCCTTCATATTATTCCTATAGGGTGTCCCATCAATTAGATTCACCAAATGCTGTTTCCAACTGTATGCATGGTAAACTTCTAATTTGGTGGGAATTTTTCCAAAGTTTATCTTGTTTGGATGCTTTATTAAGAAATGTAAAATATAGATAGTGCAACTAAAGAGAACTTCAGAGTGATTAACATTTCAATTAACCATAGAAAAATATGGTTATTTCTCTGTAAAATGGTTCTTCTTGTGGAATTACAGCCTTCAGTTTCAGGAGCCAGACTTAATATATCCAAGTGTATGAAATAATTGGCCTGATCCATTAGTCCAAACAGCAGTCTATGCCAACTAAAAAAATGTCCTATGGCTGTTGTTGATACTGTCCTTCTGTTGCTGTGTAGAAGTCATCCAGGACACTTTGTAAATAATCAAATGTTGGCCTCTCTTCTGCTTTATCTTTCCAGCATGTTTTCATGACATCGTAGAGCTCAGCTGGACAGTTATCCATACGTGGCATCCGGTACCCACGTTGAAGAGCCACCATGACATCAGAATTACTCATACCTAAAACAAGGAAGACAATACGTGAGACAGAAATCAGGTTTTTGGAACATTTTCTTTAATTGCTAATCTTTTTCCCAAAAAATTGCACCGACTTGGTGGAAGGGTGATAATCAATGGGATATTGTAATAACAGGATGCAAACTATATAGGAATGAGAGTAGGATGTTCAGGTAGAGGAGTGGCAGCATATGTTAAGGATAGTATAGCAGAGACAATAACAGCATAAAAATCTTATCTGAAAGGAAGACTACCATACGGTCTGTGGGCAGAAAATCCATAGTTGAATAAAAAGAATATAGTACTAGGATTGTACCACTTTCACCTGAAGGTAAAGGTGATCATGAAATGCTCAGGGAGGTTAGACAAGCTGCTGAAACAGGATAAGCAATAATAGTGGGAGACTTCAGTTATCCTCCTGTTTTACCACTGGGTAAAACACTCAACAGGGCAAGCTGTCATGATAACATTTGTAGGTATGATGAAGGCCTGCTTTCTAGAACAATTCATCTCAGAACCCACAAAGGGAGATGCCATTCTAAACTGAATCCTGAGTAACACGTTTCAAGAGGTATCTGTTAGCGAGCCTCTCTGGAATAACTACAACACTGGCACACTCCACATTCTAGTAGAAAGGAAACGCGCCAAAAAAAGTCCACCATGTGCCTATATACAAATCAAGGAAGGGAAATTACACAACAATGAGGAAATGTATTAGAAGTTCAAATAAGTAGTCAAAAATGGAAAAGGCCTTCAGACACCTTGGAAGCTTTTAAAAATACTGAATTATAGGCTTGTGAAAGGTAGATAGCACAAATCAGAAAGGGCACCAAACAGACAAGTAAAACCCTTGCATGCTTTCACAGCAGAGTTAAGGAAGCTATTCAAGACAAAAAAAGCATTTAAAAAAAAATAGTTGTGCCCAAATGAAGAAACCAGAAAACTCGCGAAGTCCAGCAGGTCAGGTATAAAAGCAAAATAAAACAGGCCAAAAAGAATCTGACGAGCATCTAACAAAAAATGCCAACGTTAATAATGCAGATTTTCTCAACTGTTTCACCAGGTGGCTGTCACCTTCTGATTCAGTGGGACCATTAGATGACCAGGGTGTAAAAGGTGCACTCAGGGATAAGGCCACAGCAGAGAAGCTAAACAGATTATTTGCATCAGTGTTTACCACAGAAGATACTGTGGAAATTCCCATGCCAGATCAATCCTTCCTAGTAGATGGGTTTGAAGAATTGGGCCATATTGAAATGAAAACAGAGTAGTATTAGAACAGATTGATAAATTAAATACTAGGTAGTCACCAGCACTGGATGAGATTCACCCAAGAGTTCTAAAGAAACTCAAAGATGAAATTGCAGAACTGTTTGGCAACAGTAGGTAACCTATCATTACAAACAGCCTCTGTGCTAGTGGACTGGAGTTGCCAACAGTGCACATATTCAAAAAGGGGCCCCAGAGGTGACCCTGGATATTACAGATACGCAAGTCTCATTTCCATCCCTGACAAATCAATAGGATCTATAAATGAAGAATAAAACCAGCAGTTGCATAGTCAAATATGATCTCCTCAGGAAGAGTCTGCATGGTTTTTATTATGGGAAATCCTGCCTCACCAATCTGCTGGAGTTCTTTGAGGGTGTCAGCAAGCACATGGACAAGAGGGAATCCAGATGATCTCAGCTTTTGAAAAGCTTTTGACAAGGTCCCTCAGCAAAGGCTTTAAAAAAAACTGCACTGCCATAGTCACTTCTCACAGTGGAGGGAGCTCAATAGTAGGGATCTGTGCTGGGCTCAGTTTTGTTCAACATTTTCATCAGTGACTCGTAAACAGGGGTGCACAGTGAAATCTCCAAGTTTGCAAATGATACCAAATTATTCTGGGTACTCAAGTCCAAGTCTGATGGAGAGGAGCTGCAGAAAGGTCTTAGCAAGCTAAGTGAGCAGGCAAAAAAATGACAGATGAACTTCAGCACTGACAAGTACAAAGTAATGCAACAAGGAAAATTTTCCTTATCCTAGAGGATTTAAGTCATCACTTATCTAACACCTATCCTAACACAGCCTGTTTGCCTTTTTTATGAGCCACTTGCTAGAAGTTTCCTTTAAAATGGCCTTCCTGACAGCAACTGCATGTGTTACAAGAGTGAGTGAGCATATTGCTTGATAGCAACTACATGTTATACTGTAGTCCATAAGAACAAACTTACTATACAGCTCCAGACCAGTTTATGCTCAAAGTAATCTTAAGATATGGCTATGTGAACAAGTTAAAAAAAAAAAAAAAAGCTAGAGTATCAATTTACAGCACATCAGCTGGTCTGTGATAACTGTGCATATACACGCTCTTAACCCATGTTATTTGCTAGATAGCTTACTTCACTCTTATTGAAGAGCAAGATGCCTCACAATTTACCACTCTTGACAGGACGGAACAGTTCAGCACCTACATAAGACTTAAGTCCAACTTGGCTCTGTAAACTAGGTGTTCCTCCACATAAGTCCCTAATTTTCAGTATTGATGTGAAGTTTCACATAGTTGTCCTACAAGTCTTTTCTCCATCAGTAAGGAGAAAACAGTGCCACATCTCTGTGGCTTAAAAGCTGCGGGGAGTAAGATGGGAGCAGTCTGTCTTGAATATAAATGCCTCATTCATCAGCTTTCTCTACACTGTTTTCCATAAAAGGACAGGGCATCTGATTCTTTTGTGGTTTCTTATGAAGGCCACTGGTTCCTATGTAAATTGCCTCTCTTCACGGCAGTGGCAAATATTGCATGTTATGCCCTGCTTTTCTGCTCCTTCCTAAAATATCTTGCAACATTCTAAGAATCCAGAAGGACTTCCAGGAGCAGCAAAGTGATATGATGAAGGAAAGCAAATGGCCAAGAGCATCAGGAACTGAATGACAGAAGGATTTTCATAGAACTAACAAGGGAAATGCCAGGTGTATTATGTCCACAATGCTCTGTACCAAAGCTGCTTTTCCTAAAGCAAAACTACAAGGCCAGGAAGGGAAAAAGTGTTAGTCATTTTTTTCTTTTGCTTGAGCTTCTAAGCTCCTCTCTCTGAAACCAATGGGGAAAAGCAGCTTGATCAGGAAGGAAGAACTGCCATAGAGCAAATGACATCTCACGCCAGTTATACCCATGCATTTTTCCATTAATTCTTTTAAAACCAATGCAGTTATTCTGGATTTAGTGCAGCATAGCCGATCAGCAGGGATCCTGGTTTTCTCTGATAAAAAAAATCCTCAGTTTTTAGATTAAATAAAGTAACCCCAAATCCACATTTTTCCTGCGATTAAAATGAAAGAGAGCGTGTGTGTGTGTGTGTGTGTGTGTGTGTGTGTGTGTGTGTGTGTGTGTGTGTGTGTTTCATTTTAAATCACAGGAAAGTGTGGATTTGGGGTTACTTTTTTTAAATCTGAAAATTGGGGATTTTTTTTAAACTAGAGAAAACCAGGATGCCTGCTGATTAGAACTTGGCCCATACATAATATCTCTAAGTGACTAAAGATTTTTTTTTGTCAACACTGATTAAGTCGTATTATCAACTGGCAGATCTGAATGCATCAGTGAAGTAGATTGTACCAAAATAAGCAAAGCAAGGCACATTTCAGATACTAACACTTATTTTCTGGAGTGGCAACTGTTAGACTGAATTTAGCAGCACACTTTGCTAGTTGATTTCCAGACACAGTAGTGCTTGAAATAAAGAGGAAGACACTTGTTTGGCCTCTGAGCTAGAGTGCTGAAACAATATGCTTGAATGAAAGTGCTGAGAGGAGTTTGATGCTTCGCTTTTCTATCAGAAGGCCATATTGTGTCTGGTTCTGTATGGGTATATGGAGAGTCACACCAATTCTTTCATAGGTCTTCCTGGGATGTGCAGTGTGTCAGAACAGACAGGGTGAAGCCATGGCTCCATATGAAGCAAGCTGTAGTGCCCTGAAAGATGGTTTGGTTCTCCTGCATACCAGTCCACTGGAGAAAAACCTGATGATTTCCTGAATCACACAGTGACTACACACACCTGCATCACCCCATAATTTGGCAGACAAATGCTCTTACTTGACCAGTTTAGCTTATAAGGAAACATCTGCACTACAGCTGGATAAGCCATTTTAATTTGTAGATTTTCTGCATATTTGAATATCTATATGAATAATTTCTATATGCATGCAAGTTCTGCCAACCACAGTCCACAGACTGTCTAAATAAACCCATTAGCTTATTCCCTCAAAAGAAGTCACTTGGTGGAACACAAACAAAGAAAGGCCTCCTGTAGCTCTCAAAGGTGAGCCTATGCTTTTAACATCTGTGTCGTAACTCCCTGTAAATATTGTATTAACAACGAAAATGAGCCTGAGGCAAAGAATTTATATGCAAACTTTTCAAAGTACCTATGACATTTTCCAAACCTTTCAAAGTTCAGAGATATTTGCTTCTACTTTCAGTTTGAGCCTATCATAGAAATAGGTCTGGACTATGGAATTTGGATCTGGACTAGAATCCTTAGTTTGGGGCATCTTTAAATTTGCCCTTAATTTGGTAAAAATGCTAAAAACTTCCCCTGCTTTTCTATAAAGAGTACCTGCTTTTGTATAACAATAAATTTTGGAGGATACTAGAAGAACAAGATGTCACAGAATAAGAGTCTTTTGATGCTCTATAAATACACGCAAAGGCCAAGACCCTTATGGAAAACAGTGAAAAGATAACTAATGATACAACAGTCCCACATGCTTTTGTGCTGATTTTATTTTTTCTATAGGCTCAATAATGAACATATAGAAGAACTCCACTTCACCATGGGCTTGACCTTGCAAAATGATCCACCCCCTGACCACAATTTAAAAACCAAACACCTTAAATATACACTTATCTTTAAGCAGGTGAGTAGAGCTGCTGTACTGAACAAGAGCCCTTTATACCCAATAAGACTATTCATGAGTTTCAGTTTTTGGCTAGACAGGGGCTAAATGGCCCCAGCATCTTGTAGGATTGAAGCCTTGCACCGTTATTCTGCAACAATTAGTACCCAAGGCAAAATATATCTATTTTGTGCTGCAGCCTGACAAGAAGCCTATATGTAAACATAATTGCCACGGGCCTCCAGCCCAGACTTTCAAGAGTCTTTTTATCTGTGTTTGTTAGTGAAGTCACAAGCACACATGCCCAGGCACATTGTTATGGACGTAATATTATGAATGTGTTCATTAAATGTGTAAGTTTTCCACTGTACAACCACCCGGTTGGCTGCGTCAGATTTCATTTGGTATGATTACAGATAGCAAAGCATAGCTGCTTTCCTCAAAATGTTTCAGGATTTTTCTACAGTCAGAATATTTCTTAACAGTTTCACCAGAGACGCACCTTGTTTCCTAACTGATATTCAACCAGAGTGCACATCTCTTATCCAATTTATGATCTAACACAGGATGCTAACTGTAAAGTATAATGGAATGCTCTCAGATTTAACAGTTGTAGCTGTTAAACTTGACAGGATATAGAAACAATACCTTTACATTGCTGCCTCTAATTCTACCACCAAGATTCAGCACTGGGGTGTGAAGGTCAAGAATGACTGAGTAGAACAAAAGAAGGGCACAATGTGATCAGTGGCATGGAGGAAGAATCTGTCTCTGAAAGGAGGTGCATGTAATATGGAAGTGTTGATAACATCAGAATGCCAGTTAGGATGTTTCCAGTATTTGACATACTCTTTGATCATCTGGAAATGAGTTTCCTAACAACTGGTTCAAATTGTATACAAGATTAGATGTGTGTGTCATATTTCAAAATAGTTCTTGTAACCATAATCACACTAATCACTTCAAGTTTATCAGGAGGAAGAACAGCTGTTGGCATTTGGGAACAAAGCTCACAAAACTCAGTTTTCTCAACTCAAAATGCCTTCTGCCAAATTCCTTGTTTAGACTCTCTATATACTGGTATTAGCCACTTGTCAGTTTTAATTCAAACCATTTCCATATTGCTTTAGGCTGAATTCATTTAAAACCAGAGATTTAGTTAGTTTTAAAACTGTTAATAAAAATCTTAAGACAATCTTGCTAGAGTTTAATAATTTATGATTTCTACCCTAGCCCCAGTACACATCACCAGGACATACTCATCATACTGGATTTTTGCATCGTATACTTGAATTAGACTGACTAATTTGCTAAGCCACGTTTTCACAGCTGTTTGTTCCTAGTTAAGGACAATAAGCTGGTATCACATATTTTGATCACATGCTGGATCTTCATATTACGTTTTTACATTTAACTTTCTCAAATCAACCAAAGAAATATGGGTGACTTAAAAAAAAAAAAATCTGCCAACAAATTGATGTGATAGTTGAAGCAATTTTACTGACATTGACAAAGTTCTCTTTCCAACAAGATCATACGGAAATAGGGCTGGAAGGGACCTCATGAGGTAATCTAAATCATCCCGAACTAAAAACATTCCAGGCAAGTGCGTGTCTAACCTACTCTTGAAAACTTACAAGGATGGAGATGCCACAGTTTTACTAGGTAGCCTATTCCAATGCTTTAGCACCCTCAATCAGAAAATTCCTTTTAATCTCTAACCTACATTTCCATTGCTGCAGCTTGAGGCCATTGATCCTAGCACTGTCCCCTATGGCCACAGAGAAAAGTCCATCTCCATCCTTTCTATAAATCACCCTTCAAGTATTTGAAGACTTATCAAATCCCCCCTCAGTCTTCTCTTCTCCAAACTAAATAACCCTAGCTCTTTTGGCCCTTCCTCATAAATCTCATCTCCCAGGCCCCTAATCATCTTTGTGGCTCTGCTCTGGATTCTTTTCAAATGGTCCACATCTTCCTTAAAGCGTAGGCCCCAAAACTGGACACTGCATTCCAAGTGAGGCCTCACCAGTGCTGAACAGAACAAAAGATCACTTCTGCAATTGGCAAGTGACACTCCGGTTAATACAACTCAGTAAGATGATGTTTTTTGTTGGGCTTTTTTTGCAAGAGAACACTGTTGACTCATATTCAACTTATGGTCTACTGTAACCCCTAGATCCCTCTCTTCACTAGTGTAGCCTAGCCATTCACTCCCCAGTTTGTATTTGTGCATGCAGTTATTTCGTCCTAAATGCAGAACTTTGTTGCATGTTGTTTTATTGATTGAGGATCATTTATCCAACCTATTCGGGTCACTCTGGATCCTAGTCCTACCCTCTGGAGCATCTGAAATTCCACTCAACTTGGTGTTGTTCACAAATTTGCCAAGTATGCACTCAATCCAGTGGAGGGCAAAGAAAATGTTTAGGGGGCTGGGGCACATGACTTTGGAGGAGGCTGAGGGAACTGGGCTTATTTAGTCTGGAGAAAAGAAGACTGAGGGGGGATTTAATAGCAGCCTTTAACTACCTGAAAGGGGGTGGGGGGTTCAAAGAGGATAGAGCTAGACTGTTCTCAGCGGTGGCAGGTAACAAAACGAGGGGCAATGGTTTCAAGTTGCAGCAAGGGAAGATGTTAGAAAAAAAACTCTCAGTAAGAGGGTAGTAATGCAATGGAACAGGTTACGTAGAGAGGTGGTGGATTCTCTATCCTTGGAGGTTTTTAAGACCCAGCTAGACAAAGCCTGGGCTGGGATGATCTAGTTGGGGATGGTCCTGCTTGGAGCAGGGGGTTGGACCAGATGACCTTCTGAGGTCCTTTCCAACCCTCATTTTCTATGATTCTGTGGGTATTCAAAGTGTCCTTTGTGCCCACTGTGCACACAACTTGAACCTGACATTCTCTTGGGGAAGCAGCAACCAATGGTTAACTAAACCCTCTGCTGTGTCTTGTAGACCTGTTACTCATTCACCTCTTTAGGTCCTGATCAAACAAAGAATTCAAGCTTGTGTTTAAAAATAAAGCATGCTAGCAGTGCTATAGACTTAAGGACATGAGCAGTCCCATTGAGCTCAAGAAATACTGAAATGCTTGCAGCAGTGAACATATCTATTTTTGCTTCTCCTCATCTAGCTGCAGTCTATATGCTGTCCCTTAATCTCAATCTCATCCAAGGAGGCTCACCCTTTCACCTGTTTCATTAAAACGCCAGACAGAAGGTCTGTTCTCCCATAATTGAATTTGGGGTGACAAGCTTGCTTCTGCCCTTTTCAACCAACAAGACCTGAAATGTCACTGCTCTTGCACTTAAAACCTTTATGAATCCTGGGAATGCAAAACTCCAAATGCTACTAATAGTCGTGCTTGGAATTCTTTCAAATGTTAAACAGACAGATCTGTAGCACCTAGCAAAGCATTTCTGGGAACTCCTGTGTTTGAAAAGGCACATGAACTTTACAACTATGCCTGAAAGAAGGTTTGGCTCTGGAGGTCTTCTCATTAATTAAGTGGAAGTTGGAAGTGCAGAATAGCATGGTTAAGCCACCCAGATTTCTCCAGGAATATCTGTGGCTCTTCAGTTAGCATTTGCAAAGACATTCTGCTTCTGAGAGAGTTTGGGAAGTTAACAAATGATGCCTGACACATGGAAAGTATGTGCATAAATATCCTTTATAGTAGCTCAAGGGTTTTCAACCTTTTTCGATCAGGGTACCCCTGGCGGCTGGATGCGGAGAAGGGGAGGGTGTGGTGCACAGCCGGATGCAGGGGTGGGGCACACAAGGAGAGGCAGCAGCCACTGCATCCAACTGGGCGGGCAGTGCCTGCATGGCAGTGCAGGATGATACATAGTGGACTAGCTATAGGCCAGTTAGTCTTACCTCAATCCTAGGCAAGTTGTTTGAGAAAATTATTCTGGCACACATCCAGGAGGGGCCAGCAGGGGACTGCATGCTTAGGGGCAACCAACACAGGTTCATCAGTGGCAGGTCCTGTCAGACCAAGCTGGTGGCCTTTTACAATCAGATCACCAGATCATTAGATGCAGGGGTAGCAGTGGACATAGTCTTCCTGGACTTCCGGAAGGCTTTTGACATTGTCTCTCACCCCGTTCTCATTAAGAAACTGGGGGGCTGTGGCGTAGATACCCACACAGTCAAATGGGTCGCCAACTGGCTGGAGGGCCGCACCCAGAGGGTGGTAGTGGATGGGTCCTTCTCAACCTGGA